TTTTTCACCGGAGTAGTCTAAACGAGATAGGGCGCTCGCACAGTACATATATATATATAGTGTATTTGAGTTTAGAAATTGAATACATGCTGACACTCACATGATTTTAAAGGGCATTTAGTAGGCATGTGAATTTTGATTCCTCCCAAGCCTCACAGGTATGCGCAGGTCACACAAGAGCGAGAATCAAGTCCAATCGATCTGCTTGGAAACATTCAGAAGTTGGTAGAGTCGCTTCAAGAACACGGAGAGAAAGTCATGGTCATGGTCTTGCTGCACACATGTGCACACAATTTCCACCAGTGAGGCATGGGGATAAGGCCAGCAAACAAGGCGAGTTTGTGGACTCTTGATCTGTGGTCAGGGTGACCCGACAAATGTCACGAAAGGTAGCTTGACCTGCCTGAGTTCTCCTTGCGTTAGCAAAAATGTATTACAATCTGGAGTTGGGATCATGCATTGAATTTGGTCCCGTAAGAAGGGATTCTGTTCGACGGGGGGGGGCCGTGGCCCCTCCCCCCTGCGCCGTCGCTGTTTGGGTCACATCCATCCACCTTTGACGCTGTCATGAACTTCTACCAGGGTTACTTGTGATTGCCTGCTACCTTTCGTTCACCCCCTCCTCTCTCAAGTGAATTCAGCCTAGCTCAGAAAAGTTGTCGAAAGACTCGTGCTGTAGTACTAGCAGATCTACGAGTAGTTCTAAGATCGACTACAGTAATAGTAATAGGTCGGCTGCTACATCCCCAACTCATTTGTTTGACAGGAGGCTTTCAAGAAGGCAGCAGAACAGGCTTCAGAGATTGGAGAGGCGACTAACTCAATGAAATTCTGATTGATATGTCAAGTATACAAAATACATATTTAAGGACATTTCTGCGTTCCATTGGACAGGTTGTGCAAGGCATGGAAGAAGCAGTGGAAGAAGCCAAGGCGAAGCATGAAGGAAGAGCTCGGGCCTCAAGAAAATCGGGCCAGCGCTATGAACTTTTACTGGTAGTTGGTGGCTGCTTGTGGAAACAGGATGAAACATGTCTTTGCCAGATACAGAAAGGAGCAATATTTCTAGAGTCCGGGAGGTCAGTGCACCCTTTTAGCACTTGTGATGTTGCATTCGATCATTTGACATGTGTAGAGTCTTATAATGTTTCTTAAATTTATCTAGATAACTCAAATTTGAGGACCGGTCTTTTGAGTATATTTCCCTTCCTTCATTTTTCTTTATAACAAGACTATTTTTGTAACCAGTTGATTTTCAAAAGGTCTTTTTATCAAACGTGCCTCCACAGTTGTAGAAGCACGCCATCCTTTGTGGAGCCTACGGCTACATGCATTCTGCCTTATCCAAATCCCTCCTGTATCATACACTGCTCTTCTCCTTTCTGAAATTATGATTCTTGATCAGATTCTGATTGTATAAATAATGCATGTGTATGAGTGAGCACGGTGTCTTCCATTAAAGAGGATCCAACATTTATAGTTTACAAAAGGTTGTTCCAAGTTGTCCCTTAGCAAGGATCACCACTTTAGAAGTTTGTGTCCAATAAATCAACGCTCTGCAATGGTTTCATCTACAATCAACAGCCTGTGCAATAAGGGAAGAGTCATTGTTTAATTAAATGAACAAGGTAACTGAATGACATAACAATGAGAGCGGTCAATCAAACCTTTTATGTCTCTGGCCTCGCTCCTTCTATTGCATGTCCTTTTATCATTGGTACTCAGAATCCAATCATAGTAAGAGCCAAGCAAGAAATAAGTATATACAGTATTTGCTTGTCTAAGAGAGAAGCCTCTTGAGCAGAGGAACAGCTCAGGCTGAAATAGAACAGACTAGACAAATGAAAAGGAAGGGAAACGATTATCCCGGCCAGAGACCCCAAACAGTGTTTTGAGGTCTAGAGGTCTAAGGTCTAGAGGTGTAGAAGCAGAAGGCATTGGGCTCCAGACAGATCTAGAGATGTAGAGAGGTCTAGAGATCCTGATAGAGATCAAAAGGTGTAGACAGATCTAAATGCCTAGAGATTTAGACATCTCGGGCCTAGAGCTCTTGAGATCCGGAGAGGTCTTCAGGCTGGAGATCTAGAGGTCTTGAGAGTTCTAGAGACATCTTGAGGTCTAGAAAGGTCTACAGGCCTTTTGAGATCCAGAGAGATCCAGAAGTCTAGAGTTCTAGAGGCCTAGAAAAATCGAACATAAATTTCTGAAAGCAAACTCAATGTCCCATGCCGAAGACCACCAATGTCTACAAAGCGCCGCGCCTGCCAAGAAGATTGCGCATCCATGTAAACCGCTTGCCGCGAAAAATCAACTATGGACCACCAAAGCACAAGGGTTCCCTTGCACGCGCCACGGAAGGTCATCACCAAGTCCAAACACCCGCACGGCACCACAACGAGAGTAGAGTCGAGGAAAGCGCCTGCTCGCGCCCACCAGGCCCACCGATTCTGCGAGCTTGCGCAGTCGAAACACATGTCAAAGATCTTGAGGTGAATGAATCCTAGCGTAAAGAGCAGCGAATTAGCCGCCGCCGGCCGCGAGCAGACCAACGCCCGGCCTTGACACTTACTGTAAAGTTCTAGTGTTGCTGCACTGTTTGAGGAAAACAAAACGTAAGCCAACAATAGAGCCACAGAAATAGTGGAACATATCAATCAAGGAAAGGTAGCAGCAATGGAAAAGGTCAGTTTAGTTTGAAAGGAGCTGAAAAACCACAAAGCAACCAAACAACGCCCGAGGAAACTAATCAATCAAGGTCCAAAAAGGAAAGCAGCTAGTTAAAATAGCAAATCAAGGGTGCTAGGCAAAATAAATCGTACATATTAGGGTTTTTGACAAACACCAAATTTTACGTTTTCAACTTGTGGCGCTTTTGCATTTTTCTTGAGATCTTGGGCCAGGAAGGGGTGGCTTCCAAGAAAAACATGCCAAAAAACATTACGGATCCCAAACAGTTGATCTGCATCTCGATGGATGACCATGGGAAGGTATCGCCTTTGCCAGGAGGCGGATGCAGTCACGCTAGCCAGACTGGAAAACAAATAGATAATATAGAACTGCGACTAGGGAGTTGCCAGAAGGCGGGCATGCCAGCGCAAAAAGGCGGACACTAGCTCAACTTGGCAAAACGTAAAGAACTGCTAGCAAGATCTTGCGAGAAGAAGGACACACTAGCTGACTGGGACCGGAACAAAATGTATAGAACTTCTACTCTGGAGTTGCCAGCGCGCGGATGCTGGCCCAGACCGGATGGCGAATGCAAAGACTTGATGTTGAAGACACAGTACTGGGAGACGAGTGTGAAGAATCAAGGAGTTTGTACAATGCAGGATGGTTGCTAACTCACTACAGGAGAAAAGGCGGTGGCTAAGGTCAGAGGAGCGAATGGTGACGACAAGGTTGAAGTTGGTTGCTGGCTTGGCAAAACAGATCGGGCAGACTTCCACATGGTGGCAACGGCAAAGGGATTGAAGTGGACACGCACCATCAGGAGATTGCCAAGTCCATTTGAGGCAGAAGCCCTGCATCAGTGCCGCTACCACCAGCTATGGTTCCAGAGATCAGAGCAGTGGAAAGAGATGAAGCCAGAAGAGAGCGTGAGGCAAAGAAGGAGAAGCCAGATGTTCAAAGAGGCAAAGGAGCGTCGAAGGCAGGCAGGGGTGCTTGAAGACGAGGCAGCTTCAGATCCTCTGAGTTGAGATTGTAGTCCAAGCGTTGCAAATACTGGTGATGTGGAGATTGGAGATGACACTTTGTTGCAGGATTTGATGGACAGCTTGGAGAAAGACTCAATACGCGAATCCGGAGCAGGAGGAGAGAAAAGAAGTGAAGGAGAAGCGCCTGAAGCAAGCCCTCCGCATAACGCCTTGAAGATGACGCCAGAGAGCTCACCAGGACGGCCAAGTGAGAGTGAAGCGAGAGTTGATGCCATTGCAGCATCGACACAACCAATCAGAATGGTCGTAGCAGGTGAGATCCTAGAGGATGGGGATGAGCCATTGTCGTTCCCAGATCATCCACCTGAGCTTGATCCCATTTTGCTAGCCAAGATTGAAGATGCAGGCACCGAAGAGGAGGTTGTGAGTTTGGTCATTATATGGGTGTCTTGAGGCAACCAGAATCTGGAGAGGAGTTAGACGAGATCCCGCTTCTGACCGCGCAACTGGTCATGGACTGGAGGTGGCGTGAAGAGAAGTGGAAGAGAAGGGCAAGGTTGGTGGCAAGAGATTTCGGTTGGGAGGACCCCAACCGAGCCCCAGGTGGACAGTCACTCTTGAGGTTGGTTCCAGCTATCTGTCAGGTGAAAGGGTGGCAGATGATGACTATGAGATGCCTATACCTCATGTGCAGTCAACCAAAGCAGGTAAAAGCTTCTTTGGGCAGCGCACTTGCTGAGCGCCTTGGACTACCAGAGCAATGGATCCTCAAGGTGTTGCCAGGGCAGAGAGAGGGTGCAGCGCAGTGGTTTCAAGAGTTGAAGTCGACATTGAAGCGAGGAGGATTGGAACCGTGTCCAGAGGCTCCAACACTTTGGAGGGGAGAAGGTGTCGTCCTGCTTGTTCATGTTGACGACTGCTTTCGAAGTGTGGAGGAGTGAAAGCGCGAGCACTGCCTTGGTCGTCGATGAGACAGAGATCAAGGAAAGTGATGAAAGGGTTGGTGCATACCGAAGTGGAGTTGGTACACTACTGTACATTGCAAGAGAGAGACCAGACATCCAGTATCTGGCCAAAGAGTTGGCAGGTCATTTGCAGAAGCCCACAGAAGTTGGAGCTCATTGTTGAAGTTGGCTGGATACCTTTCTGTAACACTGGCAAGGACGAGCTCGAGGATTGACTTCAGTTCCCATCTATGAAGAGGTTGCTTGAAGTTGCATGTGATTCAGACTGGTCAGGAAACAAGAAGAGCAGAAGTTCCACATCACGCGGATGCATTTTCCTTGGAGGCAACTGCATTCATGCATACTCGAGAATGCAGAAGCGCATCACGTTGAGCAGCGCAGAGTCAGAGTATGTGGCATTGGTTTCTGGAGCTTCAGAAGGATTGCTGGTGAAAGCAGCAGTTGAGCATCTGACGCAACAGAAGGTGCAGTTGGTGATTGATAAGGAGTTGTGGGGAGATCAAGCACTTGTCAGTCAGGGAGATTGGCTCCAACAAAGGCAGGGCAAGGATTTGTGTCTTCGTCGAAATGACGCAATGACGAGCCCGGCAGATTTGGGGACCAAGATCCTTCAAGGAAGACCCGCTAGAATGCGTCTTTATTTGTTGAGCTTTGAGGATGATGACGGCGAGCTTGACTTGGAGTTGAAGAGTTCAACAGCAGCAAGCCAGATTGCAAAGAAGCTGACGAGGTTGACGCTAGGTGCGTTGCTGGCAGATGTAGCCTGCCTTGAGTCAGGCTGCGGGTGATGGAGAAGAGAAACAATGTCCAGCATTGCAGATCAACAGAGACGAAGTGATCAGGTTGGAGTTGATCATCATGATCCTTTGTTTGGTGATTCTTGCATTGATAGCTGGCGTGTGCGTGTTGTCAGGGATTCTTCGGGAGATGGCGAGAGAGCTATCGCAACACCGAAATTCATGGGACTACTTGAGGAGTTGTAGGAGGTGGAGTAGCGAAGAGAGGAGGAGGCTCGGTGAAGTTGCAGATGAGGGGAGTGAGAATGATTCAGGGTATGGCCCGGTATGGCTATACCAATCTGCCTGATATCAGCCCGAATGCTGATCGGATGCAGCGAGGATGGGTGATTTGGGCAGGAGATTCAGGGCTCCCGCTCAATCAAGTTGTGACTACCGTACCCCGGCATGCAAGAAGTAGGAATGAAGGTTGGGAAGAAGAAGAAGAAGAAGAGGAGGAAGAGGAACAAGGACAAGAGCAGCGAGCAGAAGACCCACCAGGGCTGCATGAGGTTGGACAGTTGCATGCCCATATCAGAATGGTGAAGTTAGGAGAAGAAGAAGTTCAGGAAGAGGTAGAAGATGAACCGGCTCGAGGTTTACAAGAAGCAAGACCGGTACAAGGACCAGACAATGGACCAGTACAGCAGCGAAGGATATTTGAGACAGTTGCATCATTCCTTGGAAGACAACTAGATGAGAAGTAGCTTCGAATGAGTCGTATGTTCCATCAGAAGCCCCGACAGACTATGGTAGCTTGGAGGGAAGCTATGAGTAGGATTGGGACTATGAATACTTGAGCGACTCTAAATATGAAGACTACAGGATGAACGTGATCAGAGGAATTGGCATTGAAATCTACTTGATGGAGAAGCTTCGAACGTTCAGACAGCTGAAGCTAGACAACCCGAATGACGAAACAATAGATGATGCCTTTGATACCTTCATGAGTTGCTTCAGAGATGTGCAGTGTGGAGGAGCAAAAGGAAGGAAGAGAGTGATCAACTACATGTGGACTATGAGGCAGTACGTTTACCGCATCAGAGAAGGCCACGAAGACCAGAACCTACCTCTGGAAGAGTCAAGGTGGCCAGATGGATGGGGGAGCGTGAACTGTGGTCCATATGGAGTGCCAGACAGAGTTGGGTACAGAGGACCCAATGACCGAAGAGAGAGAGACAGTATAGTGGAAGATGAAAGTTTTGAAGGCTCTAAGATTGAAAGCCAAGCAAGCCCAAAGCGCAGCGAGCAGAAAGGAGTGAAAGGTGAAGGAAAGTCGAAGTCGAAAGAAGTTGGAAAGCAGAAGAATCCAGGAGAGAAAGGCTCAAGGGCTCAGAGCTCAGGGCCGTATACCAAAGGAAAGCCAAGAACTAAAGATGAAGGAGAGACATATGAAGATGGAGATGCAAGTGGCGGCAAGGCCAAGGGAAAGAGAAAGCCCTCGCTTTGTGGAAGCTGAATTCGAATTTTCATGAATGGTGTTTAAGACACCTGAAATCCTAGAGACTTGACCGGGTCATTTCTCGAAGCTTTCAAGAAATGAAAGCAGGGTGACAAGCAGTTGGTGTGCATACCCATGCTACATGTCATGTAAACATGCCGAACAGGCTCAAGAGTTCACCCGCGTGAAAAGGCGTCCCGCGCGCTTTTGAGATCTTGCAGATTTCCTGTCTTTTATAGAAGGATCGTGCAGAAGCTGGTCGAATTCTTTTCTTTTTTACCAGCTGGCACCAGAAAGAAAGGGACACATTGAGGGCAACTCCTGCTTGGCAAGGGCTTGGAGGGCAATTTGTTTTTTTGACGTGATGTTTGCTGTTTGCTCTATGAGGTGTGTTCGCAACAAACAGTTGTTTGCTTATGCTTGCTACTCATGTGCCGCCCTGGTGTATACAGTTGCACCCTGTTTGCCAGTCTCGTTGTTTCAGTTTGAAGGCATTTTTTTGGTTTGCATTTCCTGCTTCCACGGGGCCGGCAACCCTTGTTGGCTGAAACTTTGAGTTGCCCTCCCTCCCTCCCCCCTTTTTTGTTTTTATGTGTTTTCCTTTGTTCTCTCTTTCTCTCTCTCTCTCTCTTTTTCTCTCGCTGTCGCCTTGTCACGTTGCCTCTTTGGTCTCGTTTGCCTTCCCCTCTTGAGTCGACTCACTTGGGGAAACATAGGGAAACCATTAACCATGTTTCCTTCAAAATGACTTGAGAAGAGACTTCTCGCGGAAGGTGACAATCGGACTTGCAGGAAAAACAATTTATATACTGGTATATATCGGCCCTGGCATATCCAAAGGCCATTGTAAATTTGATTCAGTGTCTCACAACTGAAAACAACATACGCAATCTCCCAAGCTGCACCAACATCCTTACAGTAGCTTCTCCTTTGCCGGGTGGTCGGACAATTGCTACTGAACGGTTGAACTACTTGTACCTGTAGGATTTTGTTGCATTGGTGTTGAGCACCGCCTAAGTATATCAAGCAGTGCTGTTTGTCGTCCAAACTGCGAGACATGTGCATGTGGGTTTGGGGCGAGCTTGAGTCTCGCTAAGCCGGTTCGCGTGCGTTGTTTTGCCAAGGGGCCAAGGGGTACCCGCTCGCGCCGGCGCAGAGAAAACGGTAAAAAACGCAAACAAAACAATTGTTACTGTCTTTACCGCGCGGTGCCTCCGGGGAAGCCCGTAGCTCGAGCAACACCGCTAAACCAGCACAGTTGAGTCTTGCATGTTCTATTGAACTTGCTATTTTTATAATTTGACTCAAAGTGTGAAAGAGACCGAAACTGTCTCACGCTACTAGTATTGAAGGTTCCGATGCCAAAACTAAGGCTGGACTTATGAAAGAGCTGCTGCACAGCCTTTCAAACATGCCAGGCGAACTGAAACAATGCTGGTTAGCTGACAGAGACGATTGCTGATCAGTGTTGGCTTTGAGACCATCGCACACGAACTCCAAATTATTCAATTATGTGTATTTAATTTTGTATATATACGTATAATATAATATATATATAATATACGGATATATGATTTATAATATAGCAATTTCTACAGTAGTTGCAATTTGGTGTAGAATAGCCGCATTGCAAGGCTTGCACCTCCTTGAATCTAGACATTTTGAAACTTGACGGATCCAAACCATGCGATCCGCGATCCAGTCAACCACAAACAGACCAGGTACAGGGAAGGTTATGAAGGAAGATGTTACGCAGATCATGTCCAATGGTGAGAGCCAGCGCCCTCAGTTGGAGGTCGGTGTGTAGCAGACTCAGATTCTACCTCCACACAGAACATATTTGCTTATTTGGTTCAATCGTTGTAGTTGTTGTTCTAATGTTCTCGCGGGGAGGGTGTCAGTGTCAGCCTTTTCATTTTCAGCAATCTCACAAATTTATCATCAGGCAACATTCTCTAGCTATGCCTAGCCAGCTTGGTGCCGTTTAAGACTAGACTTCGAGACAATCTCCGCATTTCATGCTAGTTGCTAGGCAAGGCTAGGCTTAGGCCGAAGCCCGGAGGGAGTAGAGTAGTGAGTTGGTACAACAAACAACGCTCCTCACAGGTTAAAAAGGTAGGTCCCAAGAAAACGACAAGAGCAGGAAAACATAGGAAAACTATGTTAGTCATTCCCTTGGCAGGGGACCTGTTCATGCATTTTCAAGTGAAAGAGTTGCTTTGCAGAGCCTTTGGGACGAATTTGCAGGCTAACAGTAATGTTGCAAAACATGTAGAAAACAAGTCAAGATGACAATGCCAAAGCCCTGCAGACTGACACTATAGCCGCTTTCGGGGCTATCGATTTTATGTGGGGTTATTATGCACTCCAGACTGAGACTGAGGCGACATTGCAAAGATAATTGTTTCAAGCATTGAATATTCCTACTCATGTTGGAATGTTGGGATGGCAACAGCGATGAATGTGCGAAGCGTGATGTTTCCGGACACTGACGACAGTGAAAGAACTCTGTGGGAGAGCTAGAGCCACCGGACACTTTCCGGCGATCTCCCTGTTTGCAAATCTAAGGATGTGTCACTGAGCTGGTGAGAGCAGCAAACGGCACTGTACGAGGCTGAGCAAGCTTGTTAAGTGGCAATAGCCCCATGCATGGTAGCATGCTATGGCGATATTCGGGGGGAAGGCCTGAGTTAACTCGAGGGGCAGACAAGCATTGAATCACTTATTGATGGTTTGGATGCTCCGCAAAAGGAAGGCTGATCACAAAGAGCCGACTTCTTGAGCTCCTGATAAGAGTTTGAGCCAGCCCTCTCACTCAGTGATAGCATTATGAAGGGTCCAAGGCGGACGCTGTGAGAATACAATTTTATCCTGAATCTCTGCTCATTGTTGCGTTTTCATGTATATATATTGTAAGGGCTTCGCCCGGGTGCCGCCGACCCCCTTTCGGGAGGAGTGTAGCACGTGCAACTGAAGGCGTGTGTGTAGTGCCGGTGGCGGCTCGACGGAAGAGATGAGACGGAAGATGGGCGTGGACGGGGGTGAGGAGGAGAGGAGGGAGGGGTACGATGTGGGGCTAATGCCCGTCGGTGGACGGAAGATGGGCGTTCTAGTCTCAGGAACCTGAAGGTAGGGGAATGCAAGCACTATGCACGGTCGTGGTGGGCTGGGGTGCTGCAGGGGCAGTGGTAGTGACATGACTCGATGAATTTGGACTTTGGGGATTCCAATGGCCATCTGGGGTTTGAGGGCGCCTGGACGTCACCTTCGGGGCCCTAAAGAAAAGA